TTTCTTAAACTAATAACACTTCTAAATACAAAAATTAGCATAACGTTGCCAAAAAAATATATTCTTACAAAAAAAAAAAATTAATAGTAATATTACATCAAAGAAAATAAATATTTTTATATTTTAGATACTTTTGAAATCAACGTTGGTAAGTTGTTGTTATAAAGGAGAAAAGTGTGTTGTTTTTTTAATCCCGAATAAAGAATTTAATTATTATTTTAATAAAATGCGAGAGAGCCACAAAAAAAGTATAAAAAGTAAATTAAAATAATAATTATCATTTTGTATAAAAAAAAAAAAGTGAAAACAAAGGAGAGGAGAAGAAGCAGTGGAGAGAGAGCATGTGAAAGAAAAGCGTGAAGCTTTTTGATATCTCTTCCTCCTCCGATAGATTTCGCCGGCGATGGTGGTGGAATCCTTAGAAACGGAGATTGATACGGCGGTGCGTGTGGTCCACCTCGCTTCTTCTCTCTGTGTTAAAGTTCAAGAGAAGCTTCATCTTCCTAATGGTGGTCACGTTAAGTCTAAAGACGATGATTCTCCTGTCACCGTCGCAGGTTCGATTTCTCTGTTTCTCTGTTTGTGTTCTGTTTTTTTTTTTAATTGTCATTTTGAGATCTGTTTGTGTTAAATTAAAAAAAAAATCGAATTTTTGATATTTGATTGTGTCACGAATTGCTTTATTGGTGTCACGAATTGAGCTAAAATCGAATAATCATAGTTACTTTTGTTCTTTAATTCGTTGAGAGATGAAACAAAATGTGTATAAAAATGTGATTTTTATCTTAAATTGCAAAATCTTGCAACTTCTCATCACTTACAAATGATTCTCTGTATTAGTAGTGTACCAAAGTTTTAAACTTTTGTTGGTTCACTTGACAGATTTTGGTGTTCAAGCAATTGTGAGCTGGGTTTTAGCTGAAGTTTTTGGTGATCAAAACCTTTCAATTGTTGCTGAAGAAGACACTGAGACTCTCTCAGAGGCTGATTCTTTAGGTCTTTTAGGAGCTGTGTCGAATGCGGTTAATGATGCATTGTCTGAAGCTCCGAAATACGGGCTTCCAAAGCCAGATAAACCATTGGGATCAACTGAAATTCTTAAGGCTATTAGTCGATGTAACTCCGTTGGAGGGCCTAAAGGAAGGCATTGGGTGCTTGATCCTGTTGATGGAACATTAGGATTTGTTCGCGGGGATCAGTATGCTGTTGCTTTAGCTTTGATAGAGAACGGTAAAGTTCTTTTGGGGGTACTAGGATGTCCTAATTATCCGGTTAAGAAAGAATGCTTAAGTAATGGTTGCAACCAAGCTATGAAGACGAAATCTGTTGCGGGGTCAGTATCGAAAGGATGTGTCATGTATGCAAAGCGAGGAAGTGGTCAAGCGTGGATGCAACCGTTGATTGTTGGAGGAATCCCAGAATCTGCAACACTTCTTAAGGTTTCCTCAGTCGATGATCCGGCTTTAGCTACGGTTTGTGAGCCAGTAGAGAGAGCAAACTCAAACCACTTGTTCACTGCAGGACTTGCCAATAGCATGGGAGTTAGGTAAATGTTGTTTCTTTACTAAATCTCTTATTCAAAAGTCTCTTTACTGACCTAAAGTTTTTGTTCTGCAGAAAGCAGCCTATGAGAGTGTATAGCATGGTGAAATATGCAGCGATTGCACGTGGAGACGCTGAAGTGTTCATGAAGTTTGCACAGTCGAGTTACAAAGAGAAGATATGGGATCACGCGGCTGGAGTTGTTATTGTGGAAGAAGCTGGTGGTGTGGTTACTGATGCGGGCGGGAGAAACTTAGACTTCTCGAAAGGAGTTTACTTGGAAGGCCTTGACCGAGGAATCATCGCTTGTTCTGGTCAAGTTTTACATGAGAAAATTATAGGTGCTGTTTATGCTAGTTGGGAATCTTCCAGTCTCTGAAAAAGCTTATCCACAATCCTCAGTTTGGTGCAGCATCATCAAGCCAAAGCAAAGGTAAATAAGATAACAAATTGTCCTCTTCAAGATTCTAATCATATTTGTAGATTACTGCATAAAGCTAGTGTTCATAGATAGATTAGACGAATCCGGTTTGATTTTGGTTCTGCTGATTTTAGTTTATGGAGATTGGAACTATTTGGTTCGGTTTTGTTGATGAAATATCTTTAATTTGAAAGATTTTTAGACTCGGTTTTTAATCGGTTTATTTTTCCGGTTTAGGGGGAACAAGGGCCATTCCGGTTTAGGATGAGCAAGGGCCAGTCTTTCTGAATGTGAATGGCGGACAAGTAAATATAGTCAAGGAAGCAGCGGTAAAAGTAAGAATCTAGTTTATTTACCTATCTAAGAGTAATAAAGCTGCTGCATTTCACGAACCTTTATGTTCTATAATCTTAATGGATGATATCATTTTTAATCTTCGTCCTGTAATTTTTGATTATGCATGTCGTTTTTCTGACAAAAGACAAAAATTACTTAAAAGGCTCTAACTTACTTCATTATATTTCAATGGTCGATGAAAGATTCGTCAAATAACGACCCAAACTGTCTCTCACATTTTAAAGACTCAACTAGAAGAAATTACGGATACTAATTAGGTCCAACCAGCAAAATTCAACTTCGTTCTTCAAAAAAACACAAAAGATATGGTAATGGTCCATTTTCGGGCTATAAATTTTGTTTTTATTGGGCCGATCCGATTGGGTTTTGACCATTTGAAATAGACTCACTAGACTTTTATTGATACGAAAATGTTAATTAAATCAAATGCCTTGAACTCGGTTTAGCCGACATGTTTGGCACACTAATGAGAATAGCTTAGTCAGTTTTATGTGTTAGTCTAAAGATTAAAAGTAAAGTTTGATTCTGCCGACAATTTTCTTAGATTTGGTGCTATTTAAAAGATTTCCCTCTTTAATTTTATCAAATTCCAACCTTCAAATAGGCTTTTCTCACACATTTATTGAACAATTTATCATTATCAGTCACAATTTTGCGTCTTCATCTTTGTAAGTACATAATTACTAATAATTCAATTCTACTACTAATAGAGGAGGGCCAAAGTGTCAGTAATGATGCATGAATGGTTAGTTGATAAACATCTCTTTCTTATGAATTCAATTTTTTTTTTCTTTTCATTTCATATTTAATTTTGTGGAATAATAATGATATATAGCTATATAAAATATAATAAAAGATTAGCTAAAGTAACAATTGGTAAGAAAATATCACCAAGAAGCAAATCACAAGGATAGTCTCATTGTCATATACAGTTTACCTATGTCAAAGAGAGTCTCATATACAGTACATAATTGTAAAATAGTAAACCATTTCTTTACTTTTGTCAACAAAATTAGTAAAAAATTTCATATAAACATTTGTCTGCCAAATTTTATTCACTCTTTTGAAGTAAACGTATAATATAAAACTGAGTAGCCACATCCCAGAAAATACAAATATAATGTTTGTAAAAACAACTACGGATTAGTGTTCATCTAAAATTATATATTAAGATTTTATCGACAGTTAACATGTAATTTGCTTGCCGACGAAACCATAATATTATATATATGCAACATATGATTTATTCATATATCTATATCTCTATATTTAATTATTTTGAAAAATTGGAACGTACCTCACCAGATACATGTTTAATTGATAATAAATAAAATTGTGACATGTGTCTTCCCAGATTTTTGAACATCCAACTAATAATAGCACATGTGCATGTAACCTCCATCTCAAATGAATTCATGATAATTAAATTCAGAATTCGAATTATACTATACTAGTACTACACATAGTTAAATTCTTACACGATGTTTTCATATATAACTTTGGAAATTTCTCGCAATGATTTATTACCGATTAGTCGATTACTACCATTAGAATACAAACAGAAAAGATAGCTTTGACAAAACGAATTTCGATATCCAATTTACAGTTTACAAATGATTTAAGTTAATTTCTTAGGAAAGCAAAAAGATGATAATAAATTCCATGTGCCTAATCAAGTGTCGGAGTCAGATTCCGACCTTATATGAAAGACCTTAGCATGTGCTACTTCATTCACTAGCACCACAAATTCAACTCTCTCTTTTTTATCCCTTTCTAATAAAGGAGAATGGTTCTAATATTATAGACATGAAAGTTCATAAAAGTTAAATCACATAATTGAACTTGTGTTATATTTCAAGGTATTAATAGTGATATGTAGGTGAAAATTCTCCATTATTGTATTGCAAATCCATTATTGGAGAAAAATGTTAAGATATAGAAAATGTCTATTCGAATTAAGATATAAAAAAATAGTTAATAGAAATTTGAATATAAAATATAAAATTATATCTTATTAAAATAAATTTGTTATTGAAATTTGGATATTAAAATATAAAATTATAATGGAGTAACAGAACAATAATAGTAAGTTTGTAATATGAATAAAGGCAATATTAACGAGTAAGAATAAACATAGGTAAATTTAATGAATAAAGGAGAAATATTGTTTGAGATTATGAATCCTATGTTTTTTTTTTAATCTTACACGATATTTTAAAAAAGTCTAATCATCATGACTCGTTGTGATTAAGAAACAAAACAAGTTTAAAAATCTTGTAAAACGACAAAACAACAAAAAGGAAAGAAAGAAGAGAAAGTTAATTTTAAGGGACTTCAAATTTCAAATTCTTATGAAGGAGTGATAAGTGATAACTCACCAAACAAACAACTTAAATTTGTATTTCTTCTTTATACGAAAAAAAAGAGAGAAATGAAAACATGAAAGAGTGGTCACTCACCAAACAAACAACCTAAATTTAGATAAAATACCATTAATGCTAAATTTATATATTAATAAAAATTAAAAAGCAATTAAATTAGGAACGGTTACACATTCAAATTCGTGTTTTGACTGTTGAATACAAAAACAAATACATACATACACACACATATATCATTATCTAATGTTATGCATGACACTATATGACAGTTATAAATAGAAGCTCCACATGAGAATCATAAAAAGCTTCACTGTGATTGCTCAACGTTTTAGATTCTGTCAGAGTCTCTCTCTTCTTATTTCTCATGTTTCTTTTAATCTTTGAACCAAAACATTTGTAACCGTCTCTGTTTCTTCTTTACTCTGCTCGGAGAAAAAACTTTGAAATTTTCGCATCTATGGGGAAGACGACGAATGGAACAAGAGATTGGGCTCAGATCTACGCAATTTACGGGATCGAGCAAAAACACACACTCATCTTCCTAATCATCAACGCGATTGCTTTCTCTGTTCTCTCTACCGTCTTTTTCATCTACTTTAACCCGATCTGCGTCTTCTTTCAATCGTTTCTCTTCTCTAACGCCGCCGCGGCTAGATTCTCAGCTGGATTTTTTGGAGCTGTTACGGCGCTTTCCGCCGTGTGTTTGTTTTTCGCGGCGGCGAATTTTTTTTACTCTGCTGTGCCGCTTAGGTATGAGATGGCGCAGAGGATGGTTGGATCTGTTGGAGATTGGTCGAGTGTGAAGACGGCGCTTGATTTAGGATGTGGTCGTGGGATTTTGCTTAATGCGGTGGCGACGCAGCTCAAGAAAACTGGTAGTTCGGGTCGGGTCGTTGGGTTGGATCGGTCCATGACTACTACTCTCTCTACTCTTCGTACTGCTCACATCGAAGGTTCGTCAGTTTTTTTTTTTTTTTTTAACGTTGACTTTTTGACTCGTTTTCTTACATTTCAAAGTCGTTTCTCGTTGACCAACATATTATTTTGTAGATTTGCGACAATATTGCGTGATTAACGGTTTCTAAATTTAAGAAATAGCTATATAATATATATATATATATATATATATATATATAGCTATTATCAACAGATTTATCTAGTGAAAATTTGGATTAACAAATTAAAAACTGTATATATATGTTAAGCTTTTTTAATCTGCCGACTTAGTGTTTATACATGTCATTATAGGGAGAATCGAATTTTGTAGGATTTTTGTAAATCTGTTTTGTTTCTTTTCTTGTCATAATTCATTGATTTTTTTTAGTTGAGATGTGTTTAATTAATAAATTGATCAACCTAATTTGTATATAGGGGTGCAAGAGTACGTGACATGCCGTGAGGGAGACGTAAGAAGGCTTCCGTTTAGTGATAATTACTTTGACGTTGTGGTTTCTGCCGTGTTTCTCCATACCGTTGGGAAAGAATATGGTCAGAAGACGGTGGAGGCGGCCGCAGAGAGGATGAGAGTACTTGGAGAAGCGGTGAGAGTGTTGAAACCTGGCGGAGTTGGAGTGGTGTGGGACTTAGTGCACGTGCCGGAGTATGTGCGGCGGTTACAGGAGCTGAGGATGGAGGAGATTAGGGTTTCTAAGCGAGTCACTGCGTTTATGGTTAAGAGCCATATGGTCTCGTTTAAGAAACCTAGTCAGCATTTTGTGGGATCTGGTGAAGTACGTTTAGATTGGAGATGTTAAATAAGGTTTTTTAAAAGATAATGTAATTTCATACTTTTTTTATTAGTGAATCCTAGAGATTTTCATCCATCGACAGAGAGTGTGAATACTTTTAATTATCAGTTTATGTATTAAAGGATTGGTATTGGTTTAATTCTATCGAAAAGATGTATGGAATACGATTTTAATGTGATGCAAGCCAGCTTAGAAAAATTAGGTTGGATATTAATGCAGTATTTAGCTATACCAAATAGAGACAGTTGATTATGTGGAAGCTTTTTGTTTGCTTGATAACGAAGTGATAGTTTCTTAGTTAGTACCAAGTGTACGTCAGTGTCACTTCTCACTTTGTGTTTATTTGTTCCCATTCAATTAATTTACTAATAAACTTTGGAATATATATGGGTTTGTATAACACGATTAGTAATAGTACTTAATTTTGTTAAAAATATATAATAAGCTAACCCTATTAACAATCACTTTATAGATCCTACAAAATTAGTACTACTATTTAAACTTGTAATAGTAGTATTTTGGTAGAGAGTGTCAAATCAAAAGGAAATGAAAGAATTCTTTGGGGGCTAAAATTCAGGTGTGGGGCATTTTCTTTTCATTGTCTCATCCTCTTTTGTCTCCCTCTCTTCTTTACTCTTCTATTTTTTACCCACAAGTCGTGTTTGAAACAAGGACGTATGGTTCAATTAACTATTCCATTCTTTTCGTTTATATATAATATATTTTTATTTTAGATTAATTTAACTTGAGCTAAATGTATTACTTTAGTTCGTTTCTAGAGGAATAAACATTTTTCATATCAAAATGCCAAGTTTGAGTCTCAAGTTCTCAACTAAACATATTAAAAGTTTGAATGATAGAAATGCATTTGGTGTGTTGTGCCAAAAATAAATTATAACAATGTGCATTTGAGAATACTTGGTGCATCAACGAAGACATTAGTTTAGCGAAGGAAGCAGAGCGAGCTCATTACTTGGTGCTCAATTAACACTCTCTAATTTAGCACTTGTATTAACCCATTACTAAAGCACTACGATTATTCATTTCAATTCCTATTAATTCTTGATAGTAATTCCTTCCTTTTTATTAATATTAACTAAAACACACAAATATACTTATCGTGAATCTTGACAACAACTATTTTCTAGGAAGGTGAAAAAAGTTTGGTGTTATTATGTAAAAATAAAAATATAGGGCTAAAAACGAAATAAAAGAAATTTCAGCCATCTTGTAGGAAAGTGGAAGAAGTTTGATATTATTGTTTAGAAATAAAACATAGGAATAAAAATCGAAATTCATAAAATTTCAGGGAGTTGGTTTTAAAAAGCGGTAGACAAAGACAACAGTTAGAGGATCAATGTGTATATTCAATTGTTAATTAAATTTCGGTTTACAAAACAAACCGGAAATACTCAGATTAGGGGGGAAAATACTCGCATGTGATTCGAAATGTAGTTTGAATTTTGTAAAGAGTTTTTAACTTTTAACGGACCAAAAATATTCAAATTAGGGGGGAAAAATCTCATTTTCAATTTTAAATCCAAATGGTTTAACGGAATGAAGCAGGGCATTTTAGTAATTACGTATTAATTAGCTTAACACACTACAAATACAAGCTTTTTTTTCTCTCTCGGCAACTATTCATTTCATTTCATCACCGACTCAAAACAAACAGCTTCGAGATTTTTTATTTTGATTTTGATTTTGATTCATCAATCATTTGAAAATTCTCTTTCGATTATCCCAGAACAGAAGCGTGTGATTGAATCTGGGTCCGTTGCTTCAATCGTTTCACAAATCCTTCCGATTACGCAAATCAATCAAGGTTACTACAAATCTTGTTCTTATAGATTTTAATTTTGTTTTTGATTCATCGATCATTCCATTTACTTGAACAATCTCTTCCGATTATTCCAGAATAGAAGCGTGTGATTGAATCTGGGTCCGTTGCTTCGATCGTTTCACAAATCTTTCTGATTACGCACAAATCGTTCAGGTATAAACCCTATTCTTAGCGATTTAGAAGAATCGTTGCTTCATTTGATCTCCGTTTATCTTGTTTATTGCTAAATATGTTAATCAACGTTTTAGGGTTTTGAATAACATTGGTTACATGTGTTTTGATTTGATCAATTGTTTCTTTGATTATGAAAATCGTAGCGATTTAGAACTATTTGTGATGATTTGTCTCTGTTTGTTTCAACTATCATCATGTGCCAAAGCCGATGCAATTGTATAACTTTGGTGGTTCAGTTATGTGTCTCAATTCAATTCTATAATCACTTTTGCTAATTCATAGGAAAATTTCTTGCATACTTGAGTAAGAGATGTGTAGAAAAGAACAAAGTCAATAACTGTAATGTGTTTGTAACTTACAGGAAAACATAATAAAGCTTGCTGATGAGCCTATCGCAGCAGAGAAGATAAAGAGAGTTGTTCAAAAAAGCTTGAAAGGTAAATTCTAGAAGCTAATATTTGATTAGAAACACGAAAGTTCTAAGACTTGATATTACCAAAACTTAGCTTATGGATTAGAAATAACTACATTTGGTGGCTGAGTGGTGTTTTAGAAGTGAAAAAGAGTTATAGCTCTAGTGTTTTAGTGTCCATAAGATTCTCTAAATGATGTTTGTCTTATCTCATTTCAATTGTTAGCAACAGTTAATTATGGAAAATGGTCAGATTAGCAAATTTAAACTTTATTCATGAAGTATCTCGTGAACATAATTAGATTGCCAAATGATCACATAAAGTAGGTTCTGTTATTTTCGTTGGTTTTTAGATAGTTTTATAATCTCTGTGTTTATTTTGTTTGTTGCAGACTTATTGATCTGGTACTTCGCGTTCAAGAGAAGAAAAGCTGCAAAGACAAAAATTTAGAAGACCATTCGCTAGCCAGTAGCATACAAGGGTTGAGGTAAGTATCTCTCTCTCTCTCTCTCTTACCACAAACTAGCCACAGACTAGTCCTCTGGCCTGTGGCTTGTTCCGCATGTATTTTTGCATAGATCCGAAGAAAGCAAAAACACAAATTCACGCTCAAAAACACAAATTCACGCTCAATCACAGCAAAATTCGAAACACAAATTCACGCTCAATCACAGCAAAATTCGAAACACAAATTCACGCTCAAAAACACAAATACACGCTCAATCACGGCAAAATTCAAAACACAAGTTCACGCTCAAACGAAATTTAAACGCACAAAAACATAACACTCACACACTTCCAAACGCATGCATATCTAAAAAAAAGAAAACACAATTCCTGCTCAATCACAGCAAAATTCAAACGCAAACAGTAAAAAGTTCACATTCCACGAATTAGGACACAACATAAAGCTTGTTGATCGGCCTATATACAAAGAAAGGTTCAAATTTCTCTTAAAGGTAAGCTCTCTAGAGCTAGTATTTGTTTAGAAATATATTATGGTTAAGGTGAAGTCTCTTTCTCTCTGTCAGTTTGATGTAGACATTGTTTTCTTGTTCATTATTTGTGTTTAAGGTCCTTTTAATTGGCTTAATTGACGTGTAACTTGCATGAAAGAGTCTTCTTCTGATTCTCAGGTACTTGTTTACTCTGATTATCTCCATAATGTTTCAAGGCTGTTTCTTTTGATTAATGATTACATGTTAACTTTGCCCACCTTATGTGTTTGATGCAGTGTCTTTCAATGGTAGATCATTATACCCAGTTTTTCTTCAAACAAGTCTCTGTAGTAAAATCAGACCAATTCTGCAAAAAGCTTAACCTCTGTCAAGAAGTGACTGCCCTTGCTTCAGAAGTCCATCGAGGAAACTGCGAGACTGCCACCAAACTCAAGGATCCCAAAACAAAGGTTTGCACCTTCCTCTACTATCACATGCGTTTCCAATGTACTCATGAATGATAGGTAAGGTAATCATGTTAAACCTTGTTCCATCATTTTATACTCTTCTCTAATAGAACCAATGTAAGTTTATGTAACACTACTTTAATAATATTTTAAGTATTCATGGATTTAGTTATAATCTTCCATTTTCAGAGGATAGCTTCCACCGGTTCTGCCTCAAGATTAAAGAATGAGAATGTTAGTGTTTTATTGCATGTTTTCTCAAATTAAGTTGCGTGGTTTTGTCTGTTTGATTTGGACATTGTATCATAATTGATGTGTATTGCAGGAATACAACTTTGTGTGAGCCTGCTGATGTATTTATTAAGTAGTTGGTAAAGAGACTTGAAGAAGGTAAGCTTTTGTAACGGGCTGGTAAAGTATTTTCTTAGAATGTTGGCCAAAGATTATAAAGAATCTGTTTTCTAGTGTTTAGTATCCGTATAACAGTATTTTGTGTGAACCAATGTGAGTTATAAGTTTTATTGTTTTCAATGGATGTGAAATTTATTTGTCGTTTGAATCTTTGCATTACTTTGTCCAGGTTAAAAGTGTGAATGAGAAGCAACCTCGTCTGAGTATAGTAAGTTTTATTTACTTCTTGGCTATAATTTGATTGTATAAATTTTATCTTGTGATTATCTTTTTGATATATGTTACTCTGCTAAAAGTACATCAGAACAAGATGTTCTAATCTTTTAGGAGCAGCAAAGAATCTTGGTGTAGCCAAGAACAACTGACTCTTGGATGACGTAACAGACTTACGGTAACTCTCTCTTTCGCTTCACTCTCACTCCCTTGCTCACTCTCATTAAAAACACACACACAGCCAAAAATGTTCCTTACACAACAGAAAAAAACATTAACCACACGAAAACGTAAAACATTGGTTACATGTGTTTTGATTAAGGTTTTAGGGTTTTGAATAACATGTATTCTGGTTATATTACTTTTTGTGATGATTTGTTTATGTTTTTTTTTATCTATCATCAATGTGCCAAAGCCATTGCAATTATATAATTTCGGTGGTTTAGTTATGTGGCTCAATCTCATAATCACGTTTGCTAATTCAAAACTTTCAAAGCTGTTTTGTGGCTCAATTTCCGTGTATTCTTGAGTAAGAATTGTGTAGAAAAGACGAATTTATTACTGATTATTTTCCAATAACTGTAATATATCTGTAACTTGCAGGAAAACATAATAAAGTTTGCTGATTATCACAACAGAGAAGATAAAGAGAGTAGTTCAAAAAAGCTTGAAAGGTAAATTCTAGAAGCTAATATTTGATTAGAAACACGATAGTTCTAAGACTGGATAGTACCAAAACTTGGCCAATGCTTAGATATAACTACTCATAAGATGTTTTAGTGTCCATAAGATGTTACCTGATTCTCTAATTGATGTTTGTCTTATCTCCATGTCAATTGTTAACAACACTTAATTATACAAAAGGGTCAGATTAGAGATTTTAAACTTTATTCTTGGAGAATCTTGTGAACATAATTAGATAGTCAGACGATCCCATAAAGAAGGTTCTGTTATTTTTGTTGGTTTAGTTAGTTTTATAATCTCTGTGTTTACTCTGTGTGTGTTACAGGCTTTATTGATCACATACTTCGCGTTCAAGCGAAGAAATCTATAAGCTGCAAAGACCAAAAGTTTGGGTTAAGGTCAGAAAAGTATCTCTCTCTCTCTCTCTTACCACAAACTGGCCACAGACTAGTCCTCTGGCCTGTGGCTTGTTCTACATGTACTTTCCATAGTGTCTTATCCTAAAAACAGATCCGAAGATAGCAAAACACACAAATTCATGCTCAATCACAGCAAAATTCTAAAACACAAATTCACGCTCAAACGAAAATTAAACACACGAAAACATAACACAAACACACTTCCAAACGCCTGCATATTAAGAAGAAGAAAAAAAACAAAACAAAAGAAAACACAATTCACGCTCAATCACAGCAAAATTCTAACGCAAACAGAACTAGGAACAAAAAACTTCACATTCCACGAATTAGGACACTTCATCACTTACTTTTGAATCTTCTACTTTCTTGGAAAAGAAAGTAATTCCACATGTTTTTGGAAAAGAAAGATCATGTTCTGGTTCCCCACGGTGCTACGAAATTTGGTGACCAGGTACTTGTTTTTATATCGCATTCTGGTGACCAGGTAATGTTTCACTGATTGATTTAGAATTATGGTTTCTGAATTTTCGGTTCTGTTGGCTAATGACTTTCTGATTAGGGGAATCATCATAATACGCACAGAAAGGTTCTGGTTATGTAACACATTACTTTAATAAATAATCTTAGTATTCAGGGGTTTAATTATAATCTTCCATTTTCAGAGGATGGCTCCCGCCGGTTCTGCCTCAAGATTAGAGAATGAGAATGTTAGTGTTTTATTGCATGTTTTCTCAAACTAAGTTGTGTGGTTTTGTCTGATTGATGTAGACATTATTCATTATTGTTGTGTATTGCAGGAATATAACTTTGTGTGAGCTTGCTGATGTATCTATTAAGGATTTGGTATAGAGACTTGGAGAAGGTAAGCTTTTGTATCGGGTTGGTAAAGTATCTTCTTAGAATGTTGGCCAAAAATTAGAAAGAATGTGTTTTCAAGTGTTTAGTATCGGTATAACATTATTCTCTAAATATTGTTTTGATTGAATCTCCATTTTTAGGACTAACAACACTTAATGATGTCAGTGACGTATTAGAAGTCTTGTGGAATATGGGAGAGCCAAGCATTTTTTTAGTTCTTCTTGTTAAGGTAATTTGATTTCACGGTACCATGTTTCTTTAGTATATTTTCCACCATACAAATGCAAAGCCTTACACACACACTTTCCACCTCTTTATTCACACTAACTATAAGAGTGTTTTGCATTGTTTTCCCAGGGACTTTTCAAACAACAACCTAAGAGAAAATGTGCCGGATTTTATGGTTGATCTAAAATATTTGAAGTTCTTGTAAGTTGAGCACATAGATGTTTTTCGTTTGAGTCTACACTGACAGACAGTCAATAATGAATTTGTCTCTCACATTTATTTGTGTTTCAGGAATCTGAAAAGGAAATAATTTTGACTTTTCAAACAACAACCTAAGAGCACATAGATGTTTTTCGTTTGAGTCTACACTGACAGACAGTCAATAATGAATTTGTCTCTCACATTTATTTGTGTTTCAGGAATCTGAAAAGGAAATAATTTTGACTTGAGTTTGTCCCAAGAACAATGGATGGTGGACTTGCACTGAGGAGTTTCAAGATGAAGGTATTTAGCTCCAAGAATATCTGAAGACCATTCAGTAGCCAACAAAGGTATGATGAAGTAGCTCCCTTTCTCTTTCTCTCACGCACTTTATCATGTCTCTTGCACTGTATCAAAAACAGAACATAATTCACGAAAACACACGCTCAAATGCACCAAAAAAAATTTTAAACACAAAAAGAACTAAAAGTCACTAAAACACAACGAAATTTAAACACACAGAAACAAAACATAGCACAGAACGTCCAAAAGAAACTTCAAAAACAGAAAACAAACTTTGACAGACAAAAAGTGTGGAAAATCATATTTGATGTCAAGAACTTGCTTTTTGACTGTTCCCTCATTTCTTACTCTTTTTGTATATATTGCCTTAGTAGCTTGTATTAAACTTATTTCTTTGTAAATGGTTTCATGTACACGAGGATGGTTTTCATAAGAAAGAAGAAATGTCTCAGATGCGTTTCAAACGTACATGATAAGGTAATCATGTTAAACCTTGTTCCATCATTTTATACTCTTCTCTAATGGAACCAATGTGAGTTTATGTAACACTACTTTAATAATATTCTAAGTATTCAGGGATTTAGTTATAATCTTCCATTTTCAGAGGATAGCTCCCACCGGTTCTGCCTCAAGATTAAAGAATGAGAATGTTAGTGTTTTATTTGCATGTTTTCTCAAATTAAGTTGTGTGGTTTTGTCTGTTTGATGTAGACATAGTTCATTATTGATGTGTATTTCAGGAAGATAACTTTGTGTGAGCCTGCTGATTTATCTATTAAGGAGTTGGTAAAGAGATTTGAAGAAGGTAAGCTTTTGTAACTGGCAGGTAAAGTATTTTCTTAGAATGTTGGCCAAAGATTATAAAGAATGTGTTTTCTAGTGTTTTTTTATCAGTATAACAGTATTCTCTACATATTGTTTTGACTGAATCTCCATTTTAGGACTAACAACACGTAATGATGTCAGTGACAATTAAAAGTCTTGTGGAATATGGGAGAGCCAAGCATTTTTTTAGTACATTATGTTAAGGTAACTTGATTTCCCGGTACCATGTTTCTTTAGTATATTTTTATTTGTATTTCTCAGTTATAAGTTTCATTGTTTTCAATGGATGTGGAATTTATTTGTCCAGGTTAAAAGTATGAATGAGAAGCAACCTCGTCTAAGTATAGTAAGTTTTATTTATTTCTTGGCTATAATATGATTGTATAAGTTTTATCTTGTCAAAGTACATCATAACAAATGTTCTAATCTTTTAGGAGCAGCAAAGAATCTTGGTGTAGCCAAGAACAAGTGACTCTTGGATGACGTAACAGAGTTACGGTAACTCTCTCTTTTTCTTCACTCTTTCATAAAAAAAACACACAACCAAAAATGTTCCTTACACTCGAAACAGTAAAAAAAAAAACTAACCGCACAAAAACGTAAAACACAACCAAAACAAAAAAAAAAACTTGAATCTTAGAAATGCAAAAATAAACTCCACAACTTCACGATCACGGAAATTCCACAAATTCACGAGCACGTGAATCCCCAAAATTCACGATAACATGAATTCCACAAATTCACGATCACAGAAATTAATCATAAACCAAAAAAAAAACAAAAAAAATACATTAAACACACACAAAACACAATTAGAATAAAAATGCAAAAAAAAAAACTACACAACTTCACGATCACACAAATTCCACAAATTCACGCAAAACGTAATTACAATAAAAATGCAAAAATAAACTCCAGAAATTCACGATCACATTGAGTTTGCTTCCTCTCAACACACATTTTCAATTTGGCTTTTTGAGCATCACCGACTTGTATAATTCTTGTTTCAGTATTCTCTTCATAATGTATTTTTGAGCGTCAGTGAACTTGTAAAATTTCTTGTTGTCAATTATTACATTGTTTACGTCTTCATATTGTCTTTTGGTTTGTAATTTTTGTTTTATTTACAATTTGTAATCAGATATTTCATTTACATATAAATAAAAATAAAGAGTTGAATTATTATTTTTTTTCTTGTCATCAAAGAGATGAATTATTCATGTTCATTTTTTCTTATCACCATGGCTAAGTTTTACTAAATGTCTGCACTTCTCTCCTCTACATACTTGATCACCACATCTTAGCTTTTGCGAAGTCAGTCACAGAGCATCTCTTTCTGGATCAACAATACATTACAAGTGCGCAACCACTTGCTTTGATATTTCTTTATCCTATCCATCTCAGAAACCACAATACTCTGCTCAATAGTCTCTTAAACTGAATTACTCCAATCTTAGTAGCATTCTCCATACAACTTGGCCCACCAGAAATCCACTGTATCCAGATAAACAACAGAAATGACAGCATCTACAG